AGAAATCTACGCTGAGTGACAGCGGTGCTGTGGGACCTAAGAAGACAGGGAATCAGCAGCAGCAGCAGCAGCAGCAGCAGCAGCGGGGGAACAAAAAGTTGCAGCACGAGCATACTGACAAGAGGGAAGACGGGGCCGAGGTGGGCGGTACGGCAGGGGGGGGGCATGATCTCTGGACAACTGATTTGCGGGAGCACGTGGGGGCATTTAGGAAAGTGACGGAGCGGGTCGCGCGTGCGTGGCCAGAGCGCAGCTCACGCATGAGGGAAACCCTACCGATCGTATTTGCCACTGCACGCAACGACGAGTCCGGCAAGCGACGCATTGCACTGACGATGCTGCAGGCCGAGAAGGAACATCGCTCTCTGCGGCCCATTCACGATCAACTGCTTGAGTTTTGCCGAACGCTGCGGTCGCCAGTGCCGGCAACAGACTTGGAAGAAGAGGCGGTGCTGCTCTCCATTGTTCGCTGTGGCGACGTGAATGCGGTACTGCGACACCTTGATGGGGATAACGGGCCCCGTCCATCGGTGTGGTGCAGATTCCCTACATTGGGATGGGAGATGGCGGGTCTCCTCCTACGACGCCTTAATGAGCTCAGTGAAAGGCTCCTTGATGAAGCGGAAGATGTCGAAGAGGCCTACTGTAGTCTACTGGCCTGCAGCCACTTCTTGCTGCAAAGCATTGCGAATGATGTGACTGAAGTCACGCACGCATTACTCGATCGCCGCCTTAACGAAGAAAATACTATGGGATTTCTTCTTCTTCTTTTGGCAGCCACACGTCTTCTGCTGCATAGGCAAGCTCAGTCTGCACTATTGACTCTCACCGCACACCTTCGGCTGGAAGGTGCAACGGTTAGGTCTATCTCACATCTCCTCTTATGCACATATTCGGGAACGGTCTCTACGATGGATCGCGTCCGATACACCACGCTGCTGACGCTGAGCTATCTGCAGCAGGAACAGCAGGGCGCCGGGGTTCAGCGGCATGATGGTACGGAGGAAACGTGGCTTGACGTGGACGCCAGCGATGGGGCGGGGAAGCAGAGCGAGCACGGTGCAGCACTGGTTGAAGTGCAGAAAACGACAACGCTACACGTCTTTAGTGGGATGCTGGTGCCACACGTCATTATGGATCAACGGTTCCTCATCATGAACCACCAAAGCAACCCTCACATTGCCCCCGAGGTCGATATGTTGTCGCTTCTTGTTGACATGTGGACAGACGAGGAAGTGGCGGCGGCGGCCCTGCAGTGCCCCGCACGTCTTCATAACACCCTGTTGGTAAATTCGAAGGCTGACGTTGGGTGGGAGGTTCTTCGAAGCCTCTTCCCCGAATTCTCTGTGCAGGATGACGTCAGATTGGCCTCGTTTGACGCACTCACCGCGGCCACTGTCATGGACCTGCGGTATTTGGGGCCACTCCTCCACGCCGTGCTCTCCATGCCGGCAGAACAACTCCCGCGAAAGAACATTGGAACCAAGTGCATTCCATTTCTCCTGCGGCTATTGTCCTTCACGGATCCGCAGCTGCGACGGCTGGGCGCGACGGCGTTGTCTGCTGTATGGACACCAAGCGGTCCCACACGCATTGTTGTTGGTTTTGCTCGATTAAAACTGACACAACTCGCCGGCAAACGGGGACGAGCCACGCATCAAATGCAGCAGGGAGGAGACGACGTCACATGGAACTGTCCAAGACTACCCGCCCCCGTCTCTGCCTTTCTGGTGATGGGGCTGCAGCCCCTCACCAACGCGGCGTATCCCCTGCACAACGACATTATGCGTTTCCTAATAGAGACACAAGAGGCTTTTGCCAATCCTGTTCCGCTGCATCGGTTTTTGACCTCCTTTCCACTTGCATGCATCACAACCCCGGTAATGATTAAACGCCATGAAGCGACACAGAACGGGACAAAAAGTCATATTGCTGCTGCTTCAGCAGAGGAAATGGTGCGAGAACTGCGGTCGGAGGCGCCTATTCATTTAGATTTTATTGTGCGCCTGATTCAGTTTGGGTGCCAGACAAATGGGGATGTGATGGCGCTACTTCGTTCCGAGTCGCTGCAGACGATGATGATGCTTGTCTCTATGGTGGCGGCCTCAGCGGAAATTCGTCTGCAGTTGTTACGATGTATTCACGTCGTCTGCAGCACCTCCTCCGCCGTGGCGAAACAGGCATTAGAGGAGGGTCACGTGTTGTCGTGGTTACTTGGCTTTGCAGCTCAGTTGATACGAGAGTATGGCGGGTGTGTGTACATGTACGGCGAGCCTCTTTTCATGGAGGTGCTTACGCTGCTGCGGAAGCTATCGCCGCTTTCATTTGCCTCGACACTTCAAGCGCAACAGGTGCGGCAGCAGGTGGAGCTCATTCGTGACGGGCTGCTTGCTAACCACGTGACAACAAAAGATGTGCTGGATGGGGTGGAGTGCGTCCTGCAGGAGATGCGCGGGGGAGAGGGGTCTGCCGCGGGGACGGCGCGGAAGCGGTGGGCGCCGCACAACGATGGGCGTCCAGTGCAAAGGAACAAGCGGAGGTGATGATGGACACTGGAAAGCCGAGCGATGGGAAGGAAAGAAGAAATTTAAAGAAAACAAAAAACTGTGTGGGTTTTTCGCGTCCCGGGTGCAACCACACGCACACACATACGATTAACGGGTTGTAGTTCCATGAACTAAAAAAAAAAAAACAAGAAGCATACAAACGAACCAAAAAGAAAGAAGAGGGAAGTGATTCAGGAGTTGAAATTGTAATGGCATCAGGGGACGAATAAATAAGGCTCTAGCGTCCTTGCCACTCCCCTGCTTCTGTCCGCATCCTCTTTTTTTTTTTTTCCTTCCTTACGCCTCGTTCTGTTGTTCCCTTTGCCTCACCCTCCCTTCTGAGTGCTTGCGAAGGAGTCGCTTGTTTGTATCATGCGTTATTTGTTGTTTCCTCCTCCTTTCCCGTTCCTCATGTGCTTCATATGCGGTCGCGCTCGTGAAAAGACAAGTTGGCGTGCAAGCGACAATAGCACTGGCCACAAGCGTTCAATGAATTGCTGTTGCGGCACACCGGTGCGGTGCACAATCAGCAAGGCGGGCACTTTGAATTACACGTGTGCCGTAAGTAAGTGTCGTTTCTTTGCGTTGGCGCCTGTGCAGGCTGAGGGATGGCGTAGGGTGATGCCTCCGCCTCACAGCACTGAAGACTTTGGGGTGGTTCGCTTCGAAGCAGTGCTGCACCCAGAAAAAAAGACGACGCATGTGATCGCCACCGTCTCACCATATGAACTAGACGGGGTGACAGCCGTTCTTGAGGACGTGCGGTTTAAGCCCATGTGGTACGTGTCGAAGAGGGCATATTTGTACCCAATGGAGTTATACAGTCAGGTGGTTGCGGCGCTCAGGAAACTTTCAACCCCGCGTGTGCAGGTAGAAGAGATCCCACCGTTCTTCTTTCGTTGTCTGAGTGCCGCGCAGGAGATTCAGCTGCAGCACGAGCGAAACATGAGTGAGAACCTTTCGAATGCCGCCGATGCGGAGGACGTGGTGTACTCGCAGCTGCGGTCCTTTCAGAAAAAAGGGGTGGACTTCATCATCGCCCGCGGCGGGCGCGGCATGATTGCTGATGACATGGGCCTCGGCAAGACGGTCCAGGCGCTGGCGGTGGCACATCACTACCGCAGCGAGTGGCCGGTGCTCATTGTGTGTCCCCTCTCACTGGTGGAGAACTGGGCAAAGGAGCTCACGCGCTTTTGCAGTCTTCCCGCTGGACGCATCGCCATTCTGCAGAACACCAAGGCGAGCGTGATGGATGTCCACAGCGCCGTCATTGTGCCGTACTCTTCACTCAAAAGCCTGGATGCACTCTCGACCACATTTCAGGTGGTTATTCTCGATGAGTCACATTACGTTAAAACTGTCGACTCTAAACGGACTATGGCGGCTCTAAAGCTATGTCGTGCTGCTCGTCGTGTACTGCTCTTATCAGGCACCCCTACGCTGTCGCGACCCATTGAGCTTTATCCCCAGCTGCAGGCAATCATGCATCACGCCTGGACCCCAACTAAGACGCAGTTTGGTGCAAGGTACTGTAACGCCTTTGTGGGTCGCTTTGGTGTGGACTACACGGGTCACTCAAACATGAGTGAGCTTCATGTGCTGCTTCAGCACTTTGTCATTCGCCGCACTAAGAAAGAGCTTGGAGACGAGCTGCCATCCAAGAGCCGTCAGCTGCTCTACGTGTACATCACTCCGAAAGAAAAGAAAGGGCTTGAAAAAAGTGTGCTGGCACTGCGAAATTCTCTTAGGGACGGCGCGACGCTCCCAATGTCGGGGGCCGTGACTAGCACAACGAAGATGCATGGGAATAGTTCAGGCTCTACGGCGGCCGCAGCGGGCAGTGCGGCGCCGACAAGAGGTTTGACTGCTTTTGATCTCAAAATTGCCACGGCGCGAGCCAAAATAGCGGCTGTGCAGGATTACGTGAAGAGTACGGCGGAGCAAATGGTGGAGTCCAGGCAGAAGGTGATTATTTTTGCCCACCACCAGTGCATGATGGAGGCGATTCGTGAGGCTGTGGAAAGTGTGCAGCCGAAGCAGCCGTTAGACTACATTTACATCACAGGGGAGACACCGGCGGCGCAGCGGGAGGCGTTGACGACGCATTTTCGAACCTCACCCAACTGCCACGTTGCCGTCTTGTCGATGCATTCCTGTGGGGTGGGTCATAATCTGACTTGCGCCACAATGGTTGTCTTCGCGGAGCTGGACTGGAACCCAAGCACGCACCTGCAGTGCGAGGATCGCGTGCATCGCATGGGACAGTCCTCTGCGTGCATCATCAAATATCTCCTTGCGGAGGGAACGTCGGATAGCGTCATTTGGCCCATGCTGCAGACCAAATTAACCGTGACGCACGCCGTTCTTGAGGACACCAAGGCGGGTGGCGAGGGATGGAGCGCAGGGGCAGACACACGCCGCATTCTCCGCTCTGACGTCTCTCCCACGCCCTCATCTCAGGAGAAGAGGCAAGTGACACTCGAGGGCTTTCTTTCCCACTCCGTTTCTCATTCATCTCGCCCCCTGACGCAAAACAGTGAGGCCAGCTCCGACGTGGTAAAGTCGTCTGACGAATGGACTCAATCGGGTACGTCGCCGGAGGCGCCGCATAGAAGTCAATCCGCGATGGCACCAGTAGAGAGGGTTCTTCTTGACATTGCAACACTACGCCAGCAGCGGGAATCCCGTCGAGCTTCTCCTTCAGCGTCAGTCTTGAGTTCAAGTGCCGTTGCCTTGTCGCCTGCGGCTGCAGTTACGGCAACCGCGTCAACAACACCACTGGCCCACTCCCAACGGCAGGCAACGTTGCACGAATTGACGGGGAATCATTCGCTAACCTCCTGCATTGCTTTGAGCAGTCCCCCACCAAGGGCCAATGCCTTCCGTGTTTCAGTTGCAGCGATAACATCTACTGGGTGTGGTGGTGCAGTCAACACGCCGAGCTCGTCCAATAACACCGCTTTGTGTTCTTCTCCCGCTTGTTATTCTGTGAGGACACTTCTAGTGAGTCGGCCTGCTGCCGCGACCCCCACATTGGTCTGCGCCTCTGTTAAGCCTAGTGGTGGTGTGGGCACGGCTGCTCCTAGCGTTGCATCTGCGGCCCGTAAGGAGGAGGTCATTCGTTTGGCGCCGGCGCCGCGGTCTGAGGAAATACGTTGTTACAATGCTCGTCGAACGCTTTTCACGCTTGGCAGTGTAGTGGAAAAGCGTCCAAGGACGGATGATAGTGACGACCACACGCTGTGAAGGTAATTTTTTTTGTTTTAGTATTATTACCGTCACTGCCACCATTAGTGCTGGGTGTTTGGCACGCGTCGCACTCTTCGCCGTCATTGGGGGGGGGGGGGGGGTTCGTTTTTTTTTTTTTTGTTTGTTTTGTCGCGGGCAAGAACGGCGGCAGTGGGAAAGGGATGTTTGGAGTGTCATGTACTCTTGGATGACATCAATTTTGTTTATCCCCCACTCTCTTTCTCTCCAACCCACTGTTTCTCTCTTTTTGTACGTAAAAAAAGGGAACAAGCTAAAGAAGAGAGGGGTATTCAGCAGTCTGCCGCATCTATGCATTGGCTCATGCGCCCTTTCCGTGCTTTCAACACCTCTTGAGTCTTTTGCGCTTTTCTGCTCACAGACTTGAAAGTCTCTACAAACAAGCGAGGGATCTGCACCCGATGCGCAGGAGGAGGAAAGCACGCCAGTGGTGGGCATGTCGTACTCTTGCATCCGTGCTGTGTATGGGGATCCTCATTTTTTGGCAACCTTTCGTGTTGCTACCATTTTGGGGTAAAGACGCAGAACCACACGGGCCCGCATCACCACCAGCAGCATCCTCATCCTCCCCGTATTTCCTCGGTGAAAATACGACTGCACACGCGGTGACCACGGCAACGCGAGTGAAGATATCGACAGACGACGAGTTTGACCGTGAGGCGCTTCATCTCGTGAAGATGAACCTGCAACAGCAGGAAAAAATGCCACCTGAGGCAGGGAAACATGTGCCATGCGGCGGAATTCTGCGCTGCGCACTCCTCTCCTCCTTAACTCTGAAGGCGTGTTTGACCATATTCCGTGAAGTCTACGACGAGGTAACCGAACAGGAAGGTGGCGCACCTGTCACTCTGATGTTTTTATCGAGTGCGAAGTGCTGGAAAAAAACCACCACAAACAGTAAGGCGAGAGACTTTTTGGAGGGATCAAACCGTAGCATTATGGACCGGCTTTCTTCCCAAATTAGTCGCATGCGAAAAAAAGCCGAGGCGAGTGGGTTGAGGTTTCCGTCGTCACAAACACTTTACGCGGGGGTGCTAAAAGCTGACGCTCGGCGGAGCGCAAATGTATCCTCCAACTTTCCCAGCGGACTCAGCCATATGTTTGGTAGTGTATTCAGTGATGTGCAGGTGCTGAGCGTACGGTATCTCCCGCAGAGCAGCTTAGTGAGTTTCTCTGCCTTGGAGGAGAGTGTGGCTGCGGTGGTGGGTGCGGCCACCACAACTTACGTTTTAATGAGCCCGTCGTCGTCACCGCTGCGTGCGTTAGCCTCGACGGAGGCGCTCCGCAAGGTCGCAACGAAGCAAGGCTGTGCATTTATCCACTTGAGGTCAGACATCGTCTATGAGTGGAATGATGGATCTCCACTGGGTGCCTTGGTGGTTCGCATACGCTGCCCCAAGCGCCTGTTCACCGGTGAGGGCAAGACGCTGCACGAATTCCCGCCTGGGTATCGCATGGACACTAAGGAGGGGGTCACCCCACCACTTCTATGTGAGCATCTCCCACAGCGAATCCGTCTCTCCCGTGCAATTAAGTATGGAAGCAAGACCGCAATCTTTCATGGGCAATGGCGAGAGCAAAATGTGATTGTGAAGTTATTTCACCCGTATCAATACTTTAGTTTTCGGGGTTTTCATGACTTTGTGCACGAACGGCGGGGCGGAGTCCACTGATTCATTACCCGGCCTTTAGCTGCTACTCCTTTAGGTACGATGGGATCTTTCAGATTCAGTCCGCGCTTAGCGGTTACTTGACACTACATTCGATATTGAGCTCGTGGGGATCTCGTAAAAGGGTGTCATTGCGACAGAGGCTGGAGATTGCTGTGCAGATCGTATGCATATTTGCGTTTATGCACGCAGGACATCCCAATGGCTTCTTTCTATACGATGACAATCACCCTGGCCAGTACTTACTCAAGAAGGACGGCAATGGCTTTTACACCGTGCGGCTCATTGACATTGATACCTTCCAGAAGGGGACTACAGTCCCACTGGCTAGTCCGCGGTATCCGTACAGTAACGTCAGCTCGCATTGCCGATGCTTTTATTGCCATGGACGCTCCAATTGTATGTTTTTTAATACATATGAGGCCTATGAGGCGTGTGGGCAAGTTCATAGCAGAGAAGCGTGGGGAAATGAGATGCCGCTTATGGTGCGTCCTGGGCGTTTGTGTGATGGCAGCAGTGACATGTGGTTTGAAGCCCAACTGTTGTTTTTTCTCTTTGATGGAACCGTGGCGTGGCGAGCGTTGAACCATGACGAGTTGCTACATCAGATTAATTCTGGACGTGTACCACCCTTGACAAACTCATTGGGGGCAACGCAGCACAGCGAGGCGATGCGTCAACTCTTGTCACGTATGTTTCTCTTGCGTCCGACGGAGACGGCGGTCCTTCTGGAGTTACGAAAACTTTGCATGGCGGTAGGAGGCTGCAGTCAATTAGCGGAGTGCCCGGCAACCGTGCCGTTGTCAGCGGGCAGCAGATACTCCTCGCCGCTGAACCTCCACCTAAGCCGCTAGACCACAAGGGGTATTCGTTGTTGCGTTGGCGAGGCGCAGGAATGGATCGCTACCATGTGCATGTCTGCGTGTGTGATTTCACTTGTGTGTGTGTGTGTGTGTTTAAATGGACGAATGTAGGCTGTTGGTGGCGGTGGCGATGGAGCTGCGTGCTCATCGTCGGGTGTGGGGGAGATTCTCCTCTAATGTAGCCACCGTATGCAGAGACGTGTGTCTTGCGGCTGGTTGTCATTGTCGTTGTTTACTGTTTCTCTTTTGCTGCAGCTCAACGTCCGGTGCGCCACGGGGCCTCTGATGCCCGCGCAAGCAATAACTGCATACTCTGGCGATGCTGGGCGTGACGTCTTCGCACCCCCTCATAATCACACACACACACACACAACTGCTTTCTCTCTCTCTCTCCTCATTCTCTCATTCCTTCTTCTTTTCCTTGACTGTTGCGCCTGCTGGGGTGCCTCCCCGCTTCAGACAAGGAGCCTAGGCTGAAGGAGGGGCAGGACAAAAAATAAAAGAAGTAACGTGTAATTAATGGAGGGCTGCAACGGATTTGTCGGGCGTAATGTTAGTTGCCGACAAATTCACTTTGAGCGGTACCGAAAACCTTCTGTCATCAGCTACCCGCGAGATGCAGTTGTGTTAAATCCCCACCACACCCAAGAGGCCGCACGCGAAGTGAGGGCGCACAACCACGCCGCCGAAGTGTCGTCCATTGAGAGTGCAACGTCAGGAAACGACAACAACAACGACGTCGACGACGATGACCCGCTCCGTCTCGAGGAGGAACTGATGCTCTGCCGCAATGAGCAGCTGCGTCAGTTGCTTCACCTGCGGTGGCGTGAGGTTGGGCCTAGCGGCCGCGGGCTGCTGAACATGGGCAATACATGCTTTGTCAACAGTGTCCTGCAAGCCATTGCGTATACACCGGCTCTTGCGCAGTATTTTGCTGGTAATTTTAAGGCATTGCGTTCACATGCGGTGGGTGCACCATACGACTACGCATATGCTCTGGGGGAGACGGTACGGAATATTCATACTCCATCTAATCGGTCGTATCGCGCAGACCTCATTGTTTCCCACCTTAAAAGCCTCTCTCCTCACTTTAGACTTGGCCGGCAGGGCGATGCCCACGAGTTTGTGGTGCACCTGTTGCATGCTTGCCACCGATCCATTCTCTTCCACCAGGTTGGCTCACGAAAGGTGGGTCCTCTTATTGAGCAGACGAACGCGTTGCAGCGCATCATTGGCGGGTACCTTCGTTCCGTGGTTGCGTGGAGCCGACAGGAAGAAATTCATCGCCTTGCAAAGGCAGGCAAGGTGCAGGAGGCGGCAGATTTAAAATTAAGTGGCCGAGGTCACAGAAGTGATGTGTTGGTCTCCAATACCTACGATCCCTTTGTCACCCTTAGCGTGGAGGTGGTGGGGCAAACACTGAATCACTGCCTAGCAAAACTCTGTCAGGAGGAACAGTTGGGCGGGCATGCCTACATTAGCCCGCGCGGTGTAGGCGTGAGTGCAAGGAAACGTTTCCAGCTTCATAAGCTTCCACCTGTTCTTATTATTCACATGAAACGGTTTAACTGCATGGGTGCGAAAATAAGTAGGTACGTTCAGTACCCAAAGCAGCTCAATTTGGCCCCGTTTTGTACCGCGGAAGGGATGGCAAAGACGGCAACTCGCCGTGGTACGGGTGACAGTGCACAGGACCTCTCATGCCTGTATGAACTGAATGCCGTTTGCATTCATGAGGGAAACTCGGTTGCGTATGGTCACTACTGGTCTGTTGTGCGTGCCCGCAATGGAATGTGGCTCTTATGCAACGACGAAAGCGTCTCTCATTGCGATGAGGGCCGTGCGCTTAGGCAGCAGGCCTACATGTTGTTTTACTCTCGCGTAGAGCCAACCTTCTCAGGTGTGACGCGTACGTGGAAGGAGGGTACACATGCGTCGCAGCCGTTGGGCAAGCACCATACTGCGAAGAGACCGGAGGCAGCACCAATACGCAAGGCGTCGATGGCGTCGGAGTTTGTGCGGGAGAGTGCTGAAAAGGAAATTGGCCGTGAGTTGAGTGAGGAGGAGGTTGAACGGATTATGAAGGAGAAGGCGGCTGCCAAACAGCAGCAGCTAGAGGCGGCAAGTAAGAAGGAAGTTCTACATCATGACCACTCCAATGGGCAGCGTGAGAAGTCCCCCGCTGCGTTGTCTGCTTACTCCTCCGACGACGATGCGGGACAGCCGCGCGAGGGCGGCGACGCCTTTAAAGATGTTGTTGCGTCCGTCTCAGCAGCCGCTAAGGGGTTGCATGCTTCGCAGAATGGAGGTGTCAGCTCACGCTACGGTGGCATCATAAAAGCTATTCGACGCACCGCGCCATCCGGCATGGTTGCAGCAGCCAAAAAGACTGCAGGAACACAAGCGGTGGGTGACGCTGCAGAGGGGCAGCAGAAGGCGGATGAAATCGTCGGGCAGCAGGTGGTGGAAGGGATGAAGCAGCAGCCCGTGCCTAGTACAGTTGTTCGGCCTCGACATGCGCCAAAGTTCCGCCAGCGGGTGCGGGATCCGATGTGGGAGAGTGAGATGGATCGCGGACGGTTGAAACGTGTGCGGGCAAAGCGTGACGAATACGTGGGTGAAAATAAGTTCCAAACAGCAGAGATTGCGTTTGACAGCCGCGGACGCCGACATCGCAGCGAGTGAGTGCGCACGTAAAGACGTGGTTGAGTGGACCGGAGAGTTGTATCACGGCCTCCCCCCGTTGCATACGAGACGAGACGGCGCCTCGTAGGCCGTCGCTGCCAAGGGCGGTAATATAAATATATTTATATATTTATATGAAGCAATCGCGAGAAAAAAAAAACGCGTATGGTGGGGCGGCGACCCTTTCTCACCACTCTTTTCCCTCTCCCACCTTCCACCCCCATCAAACGAAAGAGGAAGTGTTTCGACACCATAGACGCGTCTGTGTTCAGGTGACTACGACGAAGACGACTTTTTTTTTTGTTGTTCCTTTTTATGCCGATGGGAAAAGTGGGTAAATAGTCTAAGTGTGAGGAGTTAATTTGAACCGAAGCGGGGGTGGAGCCGCCCCCATTACTTCTGTGTGATTGGTTGCTGTTTTCACCTTGTGTACCCTCGTTGCATTCTTATCTTGCCTTTGCGTGTTTGTGTCTGTGTATTTGAGTTTCTTTTTTTTATTATTATTATTTAATTCTTTTGTTTGGTGGGGGTTCGTTGCAAGCGTCAACTGCAACCTTTCCAGCGCTAAGCACACAGACATACTTAAATACGACTTACAGAACCGATCTACTGTGAAGATGATGCGCCGTTTGATGATTGCTTCGCCTGTCGCGCGCCGCGTGACAGTTGCGGTTCCCTCGTCTACGTCACTGGTGGTACGTAGGGCGTCGACAGTCGCTATTTCTGTGCAGGGTCTGCACTACGTCGGCACTGGCCTTGCCGCCATCGCGCTCGCAGGTGTTGGCCTCGGCATTGGTACCATCTTTGGCAACCTGCTTGTCGCCTGCGCGCGTCAGCCGAACTTGACGAAGATGCTGTTCAACTACGCCATTCTCGGCTTTGCCCTGACAGAGGCCATCGGTCTGTTTGCTCTCATGCTCGCCTTCCTGATGCTCTTCTCGTAGAGTGGATAAGGGATGCGTGTTACGGGTGCCGAGGAGGGAAAGGATGTAGTACGGTCTGTCGTGCCCGCCAACACTTGTCAGTGTCTTCGTCGACACCGTGAATTGGAGTGACGGATCCCACACAGCCGCTGTTTTTCCTGGCGTTTTGTGTAGCCCGTGATGCAGGAAGGAAGAGGGAAATGTCCGGTAAAAGACGCGAGCGATGTGTTGTGGGGGCCGTGAGGTGGCAAAAACAAAGGCGCAGAACAATAAAAAGAAGGGAATAAGGGGAAAAGAAAACAAGGAAATGTGCGTAGTTATGTCTAAGGTTAGCAACAGAGTGTGTGCGTGCGTCTGTGGGTGAGTGGCCGGTTCTCCCCCCGCGTTGCTCGTCTTCACTTAACCTCCACAGCGCCAAGACGCGAAGGAAGGGAAAAGAGCGACGAAAAAGTGATGTGGTAGGAGTTTAAGAGGGGAAACTTCCAGTTTTTCTTGTGTTTTTTCTTTTGTTTTTATTTTCTTCATTTAGTCGTTGCGTGGGAGGGCGGCAAGGAGTGGAGGAAAAAAAAAGTTTTTGCGCGGAGCAACAGAGGGGGAGCGGGCTGGCCGTAGGAAAGGTCGTTGGTGGGGTGCGGCAGGTAGGAGGGCAAGGTAGGACTTAGACCATTCTTTTGTTGGTTTATACTTCTTTCTCTTTCTCTTTCTTTCTTCTTTCTTCATTTTTCTCTGCAGCGGAGACACCCTCCGTGATGCGACATGTCTCGCTGTCGCCGTGCTGTCCGATTTGTTGAACTCCTTCCGGTTGTTTTTTCTTTTATTTTCTTGTCGTCTTCTGCTCTTGGGCAAAGGTGGAAGTGACGGCAACAGTAAAGGAAACAATCAGAGCATAACGAGAGGAAAGAGGTGGATATGGACTTGCTGAATAGCTTCATCAGCGGATGGGTGGGAGGTGTCGGGCTTTTGTTGGTGGGTCACCCCTTTGATACGGTCAAGACGCTGCTGCAAGACAGCAAGGGAAAGCACGAGAGTGGCCTCAGCTGCGCGGTGGGTATTGTGAAGAAGGATGGTCCCTTTGCCCTATACAAGGGTGTGATGGCTCCCATGACTGGTGTCGGCGTCGTATTTGCTCTCTACTTTCTTGCCTACGACGCCACCGAGAAGCTGATTCGCAGCGTAAAGGAGCTGGACCCCTCCAAGCCGCTGTCGCTATGTGATGTAATTATATGCGGTGGCAGTACAGGCATCCTTGGATCTCTTGTACTTGGGCCCGCTGAATTACTTAAGATTCGTCAGCAAACGGCCCTTAACACCGGCGCTGACAGCTCCCTGCGCGGAGTGGTTTCATTCATTTACAGAACTGCAGGTCCACGGGGATTTTTCCGTGGCACGAGCATGACGATGCTTCGCGATGTACCAGGTAGCATGGCCTGGTTTGGCGCCTACGAGTACACGAAGCTTCTTATCTGCAGCAGCCCAAAGGCCCCATCGGTGCCGGAGTCCCTGATTGCTGGTGGGATAGCCGGCATTAGTATGTGGTCCTTTGCAGTTCCACTTGACGTTATCAAGACCCGCGTACAGGCAAGTCGTGAAAGGTTGACCCTGGCAGGCGCGGTACGGGGCGTCTTCAAGGAACGTGGCATCCGTGGCTTTTACCGTGGCCTTGGTCCTGCACTGCTGCGGGCCTTCCCTGCCAATGCCGCTTGTTTTGCCGCGAAGGACTTTACGCAGAAGGCACTGAACCGCCTTCCTGTCTCCGCGGCACCGACCAAAAAGAGCACAGATCAGCCATAGTTCAGCTAGAGGAAACTTTATGGCTAGTGCACAGTAAATCAGCATATGTCAAAGCATATATATATATGTGTCAATTCGTACAAAACACCACCTGCATTTTATGCATATCTTACTCCAAAGTTAGTATTATATGTATCTGATCCTTCCTTTTCTTTTTTGTGTATTTATCTATCTACACGCACACAGTGTATTTTTGGGGAGCGAGCGATGCAGAAACGGTAACAGCAAGATAAAAAAGTTTCTAGTTCGTAACGTACGATGAAAAATGAAAAAAAAATAAACAATAAACAATGACAGCAGAAAAATAGCAACAGTGGATGGTGGAGAGGCAATTAAACCCGTGGTCTAGCAGCTACATGTGAGCATGCTTTCACTGGGGAGACTCTCTGTGTTTTGTTGTTGGTGGTGTTTGTTTGTTTGTTTGTGTGTGTTTGTGTGTGTCAGTACGTTCTTCTCTTTTCCTACTATTGTTTTATTCCACAAACATTGGAATGATAAGAACGTGCTGATATTTTTTTTTTTGTCGTGGTGGGAAGCTGCAATGTGGGCGCTTGTGCGTTTCCGTTACTTCCTCCTTATCGCTGTGATCTTTGGTTGACGCCTTAATATTTTTTTTGCGTGTGTGTATTTCCCTGTCTCATTTTCTTTTTGGGGGGGAGGGGAGGGGGGGTTATTCTTTGCGCCAGTGAACTTTGCCTCATTGCTTTGTGTGTGTGTGCGTGTGTGCGTGTGTGCGTGTGTGGTTCAGTGGGTTAGTGCCGGCGAGTGTAAAGGGGAGTGGGCCACCACTCCCGCACAGCACTGACTGGCTGGTAAGGAGAAAGAATGGGAGATAAAGAGAGATATAGATTGGGGAATGGGAAGCCCACACGCTATGCAATCGCCAGCTACGCCTGGGGTCACAGTTGTTACTGTATTTTTCTTCTTTAAGCTTCCTTTCATATATATATATATATATATATATATCTGGCGTTACATGTTGTTGTTGTTGTTTTCTTCGTTTTTCTGTGGTTCTGGTGCCGGTGGTGTAGTGGCCCTAGAAAGGGAAGCTCAGCGCAGCTGTAAGACGACAACGATTAATAATACACGTACATCCACACCCACATTCTGAGAGAAGTACAGGCTGAGGTGCGGAGGAAAGGTCGTGTCTGCGTTTTTCAGAAGTTGTTCTGATGAACAGTAGCCGCATCTGCGTTGCTGTGCGCAAGCGTCCCACCCCTGACGTTGACAAGGACATCGTCGTTGCACAGTCACCATACCTGGTGGTGAATGAGCCCAAGGTCAAGTATGACCTGACCCCGTACACGGAACGGCACCAGTTTACCTACGACCAGGTGCTGGATGAAAACTCCAATAACGCGCTTGTCTATATGCGTTGCTGCTCCAGACTCATTGACACACTCTTTAACCATGGCAACGCCACCTGCTTCGCCTACGGGCAGACAGGCAGTGGCAAGACGCACACGATGCTTGGAAACGATCATGAGCCAGGTTTGTACGCCATCGCGGCAAAAGACATCTTCTCACGTGCGGCTCCATTAAATGCTGAAGTGTACATCTCCTTCTACGAAATTTACGGTCGTAAAATATTTGATTTACTTAACAACAAGGAGCGCCTTGTGGCACGTGAGGATGCGGAGAAGGTGATCAACATCTGCGGCCTAACTGAGCACAAAGTCACCGACATTCAAGGGTTGTTTGACATCATTTCCCGTGGCAGTGCCTACCGCGCTGCTGGGCAGACAAGCGCCAACAGTGAAAGCAGTCGTTCACACGCCGTCTTACAAATGGAGATACGGGAGGTTCAAAACCGACGCACCAAAACCATTGGGCGAATCTCCTTTATTGACTTGGCAGGAAATGAGCGGGGTGCCGACACGTTTGACTGCGATCGCAAGACACGCATGGAGGGTGCAGATATTAATAAGTCGCTCCTCGCCTTGAAGGAGTGTATCCGGGCCCTTGGCATGGGGAAGTCTCACGTTCCTTTTCGTGGCTCTATCTTAACTGAGGTGCTTCGGGATTCCTTTGTTGGTAACAGCCAGACGACGATGATTGCCACAATTTCTCCCACATCAGCACACTGCGTCAACACCCTTAACACACTCCGATACACGCAGCGTGTTAAAGACCTTGGCGGGGAATCGAAGTCGGTTCCTGTGGAAAGGGGAGAACGACGCCCCGCGAAGAAGACGAAGCCGTTTGAGGCTCCACCGCCCATCAAAACGCGACCAGAGTGGGTGGACAACTTTTTGTCAAATGAAGGCGAACTCGGGGGAGAGAACGACGGCAACAATAGCAATGAACTGGCGAAGCCGCAGCCGAAGCCCCGGGTGAGTAGGCCTCTGGGTGGGAAAGGACGCGGTAAGAAGTCGGAGGTTGTAGTGCGGGATCCGAAGATTGCAACCATTGTGCAAAATCACATTGACGCCCTTGAAGATGGCAGTGACGAGGAGGAGGAGGAGGAGGAAGAACACGTTCCTCAGCTTGGCTTGTTAGCCAAGAGTGAGGAGAAGCAGGTCCGTAAGGTGCATGCACATGTTTTGGAGAAAATTGCTAGGGCTGAGGAGAAGCTCATTGCTTTCCACCGCCGACACATTGACACCAAAATGACCGGCATTAAGGATGAGATCCGTGCGATTCAGGCATTTGAAGATTCAGACTCTGTCGACGAGTACGTCAGCCGGGTGCGCGCGCTGCTGGTGCGGCAGAAGCAGGACGTGGAGACAATATTAGAACTGTTGAACGGTATTACTGGTATGCTTCGCGAGGAGGAGGAGCTCTCCAGCACATTAACCACTTCGTTGAATGTTCATAAATGATGTCCCTCGCTCTCACTCCCGCAGCCTCCTCATTTCCTCTCATTTCCTCTCCTCTCCTTTCCTCTGAGTGCATGCATGTATGTTAAATGGGGTGTTCTGTGTTATAGACCGGAGTGGACGGACAAGAGGCCTGCATTCACCAAACTTCGGTTATCCATTTTGCTTTCCGCGGATATTATATATATATATATATAATGTCTTCGTGTGTGTTTTTACGCTTTGTGGGCGCGAGAACATTAAAAGATCAGAGCAAAGCAGAGATATAAGGAAGGTGTTGTGTGGGCGTGTGGGAAAAACATCAGCAAGCAAAACAGGGTCAAAAGGATAACGAGTTGGTTGGTGTGAAATGTAGTGAGCGGAAGAGAGAGCGAGAAAGAGAAAGAGGGTGAGGGGTGCATGAGTGGAGGGATAGTTGCAGAGGTGCCGCACAGAAGCCATGGACTGGAGGAGGGAAAGAAGAGGAGTAGGCAGCAAAGAATAGATTTAGCAAAGGAACCACCGGAAAAGCAAGTGTGACACAGTACGGATAGTGGCCCCTGAGAACAGGGGAATCAACGGCTGCGGCAGAAACAAACACACACGCACACACACATACATACAAAGCAGAGAAGGGAATTGCCCACCACTACAACCCCCCCCCCCCCACACACACACACACACACACACACACACTA